CAAAATATCTTTGCCACGTTAACTTCGATGATCAAAGCAAGTGTTGGATCGATCGAAGTCCTATTCAATCGATCGAAGTGATTGCTGGCACTATGCTGTCTAATTTCCAAGCGTGCCCGGACTCTACCAACTTTTATAGTTGCAAATTTCCACCAATCAAATGCAATATTTTCTGACTTGTTGCCTACTCAAAAAGGCTTGTATATACATTAAATGAACCAATTTGTAAAAGGTTCCTCTAGTTGATATTTTACCAATTATAGAAATAGTTTCTCTCTCTAGAACTAGGGTTTTGTGAAGAAAGTAAGGAGGAAGAAGATGATGCCAACCTTGAAGCTAACCCTTGAGGGTTCCATAGCCACTATAATGAGTGGCTAAATCCTTCTCTTGGGGCTAGAGATAGCCCCTGGGCCTGCTTCCTAGTCTTTTGTAGATTTTTGGGGATTTTAGTTATAATTGATGTTTTGACCATGAATAAATATAAATCTTATGATTTTTACATGATTTGTATAGATTAATGCTTTCAATTAATCATTTAATTCTATTCATATGTCTATGTATGTTAGAATGAATGTTCATGTGTTTTCCTCTAGATTTTATGAAATTGATGCATGTCTATGCGTGTTGAAATTATGAATCTAGTGATGGTCAAGGCCTGATGCTTAATTGATTACTCTTGTGGTTTATTTGATGGTTCATGCTTATTTTTTGATGAATTGTGCCACCTCCTTAGCTTAATTAGTTTAATTTTCATGTCATTAGCATAGTTGTAGTGTAATTGCTTTAATTTCCTAGATAAGTGGACAATCCATTCTTGTTGTTTGATGATCCATGCTTATAAGTGCAAGTAGTATATTTCTCTAGATTTTTGTGTGTGCATTAATTATGATTTAATTGAATGGTTAATGGTCTCATTTGATAGGTCGTGCTACTCACTTGATTGATTAGACAATCTATGCTTATTTGCCATCCATGCTTAGTTTCAATTAATGACACACATACACATTTTACAACATGAATTTCCCCATTAATTTACAATTGCTAGTGTTTGGTGAAGTGAAGCTTAGTGGTGAACTCTAAGCCCCAAGACCTTTCTCTCATATTCTTTTCCCTAATTTCTAGATTGTTGTTAATTTGCATTGCTTTAACTGAATCATTAGTTTAATTAACCAAACCAAGCCCCTATTTAATCATTCAACCTACTAATCCAATATTAATTCTAGAATACCTTGTTTTGCCCTTGGGACGATCCCTACTCACTCTTACTATGTTAGTAGTGGTAGTGGAATTTTACAAATTTAAACTTGGCCACACAATCACAAACAATCTCAATTTTGGTGCGTATGCAACCGAGTCTTACCAAGTTTTGGCGCCGTTGCCAGGGATGAGCAACGCCGTATTTGGAATTAATTAGGAATTAGTGCTCCTTTGATCCTTATTTTTACTTTATTTTACTTTGTTTACTTATTGTGTTTGTTCTTGATTGGCTATGTACTTGGAGCCAAGAGAAGCAAAGCAAGGGAACTTCAAAGCAAAGAAGCAAGCTAAGCTAAGCAAAAAGCATAAAAAGCAAAAATAAAAATAAAAATTTGCGAAGCAAAGCAAAGCAAAAAGCTTAATAATCTTTTGAAGTTGCTTAAGGAACCTTTGTGAGCTATTCTAACTCCTCTTGCTTAGTTAAATCGTTAGCCCGCGTGGAGGCAATTTATTTTCATTGTTTTTGTTGGAAAGCATGGGAGCATGGGATCAATATATGTGGAGGCTTATTGTTGATTGACTTGTTGCGGAGGAAAAGTGTTTGCTACTTGCTATTTGTTGAGTTGTTGTTTCTTTTGATTTGCATTGTGCATGCATGGTCGTAGGTCTTTGAATCCTACTCTTGTCCCATTGAAGGGGTAATTCAAGTAAATCTATTTCATCAATGGATGACCATATTGAGGACCGTGTTGAAGACCTTGGTTACATAGACCAATAAGGCATTTTTCACCCTAATGTTTCAACAATATGATAATATGCAAGTACCATTAGACATGCCTAGACTTTTTATTCCACAACCACAAAGCCAAGTTCCAATGGGAATACCAAGGCCATTTTTTGTGCCACCTCCACCTCCCGTTGTTCAAGCAAATAATGGGGCTTATGTAGAGCCACCAATTGTGAATCCTCCCATTGCTTTAAGAGATCATTATGTGTCTAATGAGTATAATACACCAACATGCATCAACTCCCTCCATTTAGAGCACATCATTATGAGATTAAACCATAAACAATTCATATGTTTCTTAATTATCATGGGCTACCTAATGAAGAACCATATAAGCATTTGGATGAATTTCTTGAAGTTTGTTCCACTATAAAATATACGGACATGCCGAAAGAAGTTTTGAGGTTAAAACTCTTCCCTTTCACCCTAAAGGATAAAGCAAAATATTGGTTTAACAATTTAAGACCTTTTTCTATAACTTCTTGGGTAGAGATGCAACAAGAGTTCTTGAGGAAGTACTAACCTGTGTTAAAAACCAATGCAATGAGAACTTCAATTCGTGAATTCTCACAAGGGGATGGGGAAATGTTTCATAAGGCATGGGAACAGTTGAATGTTTGCTTAGGAAATGTCCTCATCATTACATCCCTAAATGGCAATTGGTTCAATATTTCTTTGAAAATTTGTCGAACAACCATAAGGGCATGGTTGATGCTTCTATGGGTGGTTCTTATTTAGATAAGCATGAAGATGATGTGTGGCGCTTATATGAGAGCATGAGTGAAAACTCAATACACCGATCCTTGTCATCTAAAAATGGTAGAAATATAGATGGAAGGAAGAATGTTGGCTTATATAAAGTTGATAATTCTAATGATATAGTTCCTGAAGTGAAGTCCTTATCTCAAAGGTTTGATCAATTTTTGATCAATCAAAATTCGGCCCATCAAGTATCTTCCTCCCCTAATCATAATCATCATCATTCCAATGAATCTTGCATGACTTGTTCTATTGTGTTGCATTCTACTTCCAATTGTCCTCATGGACATGCGCATAGTGAACACCATAAATAATTAAATGCCAATTTTGTTAACCAAGGGAATAATCCCTATGGCACTCACTATAATCCCAGATGGAGGAACCATCCAAATTGCTCTTGGAAAGGCCAAGGGGAAGGCTCAAACCCTCCTCAAAGTGGTTTCCAAAGCAAGTATGTTTCACCCCCTATGCAAAGCCAAGGTTCCCAAGGTTATCGTTCATCTTACCAAGCATCAAATGGAAATCAATTTTCAAACTCTCATTCTCCAAACCAATCATCATATTCTCAAGGTAATTCAAGAAGTCTCGCATTTGAAGATAAAGTTCTATCCGCTTTGGGTACTTTGGAGGCAAATACTCAATTACTTCATTCTCACTCCCAATCAATTGCAAAGCTAGAAACCCAAGTAGGGCAAATAGTTAGCACGTTGAATGCGAGCAAGAAGGGAAAAATGCCTTGGAATCCCCCACTGAAGCAACAATTTGTTGTGGAGACCAATTCCCCTTCGGAAGGTCATACACTTGAACATGTGAATGCGGTGACCACTTTAAGAAGTGAAAAGGTTATTGACAACCAAGTTGGTAAGTCTAATGAAGAGAGTGAACCAGTGCAGCCCAAAGTTGATACCCGTCCCGTCTCGCATCCCACTCCCCCTTAATTAGTGTAAAAGACCCCATTGTTAAAATGCTTCAAAGAATGTTTTTGAAAGATCTTTTGAGCCAAAGGCTCCATTTTCAGATGTTTTAAAAGTATCAACCTCTCTTGAAAAGCAATAAAGCAAGGCTAATTAAATCATTGATGTGTTTAGGCAAGTAAAAATTAATCTTCCTCTCTTGGATGCAATTCGACAAATTCCGGCTTATGTCAAATTTTTTAAAGATCTTTGCACCCTTAAGAGGAAAAACAAAAGCCAAGCACCGAGAAAGGTTGTTCTAACCGAAACAAGTGGGCTCTATCTTGTAACACAACACCCTCCCAAAATTCAAAGACCCCGATTCACCCACTACTTTATGCATTATTGGTGAACATGTTATCAATCTGGCTCTTTTGGATTTAAGAGCAAGTGTGAATCTTCTCCCCTATTCGATTTATGTTCAATTGGGCTTAGGTGATTTGAAACTGACGTCGGTAGTTTTACAACTAGCCGACCGATCAATTAAGAAGCTCCGGGGTATATTTTAAGATGTTTTAATTAAATTGACAAGTTCTTCTTCCCGGTCGATTTCGTTGTCATTGACACAAAACCAGTCCCAAATCCTAAGAGTCAAATTCTCGTTATCCTTGGTCATCCTTTCTTGGCTACCACTAATGCCAACATCAATTGTAGGATATGGATAATGAAGATCTCATTTGGTCACATGAAAGTGAAGTTGAACATTTTTAATCTAACCCCCAACTCTATGGACAAACATGTAGATATATGTGTTGTTGAAAAATATTTTGCAAATGAATTTGAAAAGAATAAGTCTTTGCTTGGTGTTGAAACATCAAATGGTTTGCCTTTAAAAGAGTTTTCAAAAGATATTGTTTTCAAGTCTAGTGTTAAATGGGCATGGAAGCCCAAAAGTTTTGTTGAACATGAGCCATTGAACGCACTTGAACCAAATCCAACAAGTTCCTTAGGGAATAGTTTGTTGGGTGGGGTTCGAAGTTCCATTTACCTCGCCGAAAAAGGGATGTCTACCAAGATCTTTGATCTGGGCTAAAAGAGCCCAACGTCTTGCTAGAGATGTTAAAGACTAATGCTTCATAGGGTTTGCCAACCATATTCCTCCCTCATTTCTTGTTTTGATATTTTTTACGTTGTCTAGATATGGGTTGAAATTGAAAAATCAGTTTTCGGGCAGTTTCTTGCATTTTCTGCATTTCTAGTGTGCCTTCGATCGATCGAGACCCATTTCAATCGATCGAACCCTATGAATTTATGTCTTTTCATCTTCCATTTCGATCGATTGAAGCTCATCTCAATCGATCGAAAACCATTTGGATCAATCGAAATAAGTGATAGATCAATCGAAATTACGTCTTTTGAACTTCTGAGAAATGTTTTGGCAGTTGGGTTCTTAACCCTAATTTCATTTTTTTATTTTATTTTATTTACTTTACTTATTTTCTTTTCTTTTTCTTTTTCTTTTCTCTTTCTTCCCCTCTTATCTTTTTTTCTCTATATCTTCATTTTCTCTCTCTTTCTCTTTCTCTCTCTCCCTGCGAATTCTCTCTCCCCGATCCCTCTCTCACCCTCTCAAGTTCTCTCAATCTCTTATCCTCAATCTCCCACCCAACCTTCATCCCAGCAAACCAGAAACTCAATCCCACCTAACCTCACTATCTTCCTCATTGCCGGTGAGAACCCAAGGCAACCCAAACCGGCGCCGACAAGCTCCATTTTTACAAGCAAGGCTTTTGGCCCAAGGGCCAAGCCATTTTCTCTCTCTAGCTTGAATTTTTCCCAGATTCTCTCGTTTTAGTCATCTCCGCCTATTTCGGCCAAGGAGACCCAGATCTCTATCTCCGGCGACCTTTGCACGTTCTGGCGAAGCTCTAGCAAGCTTTCGGTAACCATTTCCGACCAAGGTTAGGCCGGAAAGCTTAGATTCTTCCCGAATCTCACTCTCTTCACTCTATCTTCCAATCTTTGGCCCGGGTAAGTTGTTTTGAATTTTTTTTATTTCATTTATTTTATTTATTTTTGATTTTTATTTTCAATTCACTTTTGTTTAATTTTTATTGTTGATTTTTATTCTTGTGCATATTCCATGTTTATTATTAAGAAAAATTAAGAAATAGAAAATGGAAAATAGAAAATGGTGTATATAAAAAGAAAATTTGAAAAATGAAAATAAAAAAAATAAATAATGAAAAATTTACAAAAATAATGGACCATTGGACTGACCATGAACTGTGATTATGTTAAATGGAGGATCGAAAAACTTTGTTAAAAAAATTTGGAGAATGGAGTTTGATTGTTGTAGTTAGAAGGAGAACTGACAAATTTTGAATTATGGATTGATATTGTGGGTGGTGTCCCTTTTGATGTGTTGGATATATATATTTCATATGATTTGAACTCTATGTGCTACTTGATATTTGATTGAATGTATGTGCTTGTGCCTTTGAAAATTTTGGGACTATCCATTTTTAAGGGGAATTCATGTCGGATTTTTGAAAAATTAAACTTTAAATTTAAATTCCAAAAGGCACGTGGTTTATTTTTTAAAACTTGAATTGAAATTGGAAAAGAGTTTTGAAGCTAAGAGTTTGGAATTGAATTGACACCAAAAAAAAAAAGAAAAAAAAAATTTCAAGTCTTTGGAAAATTGTTTTGAAAATCCAAGTTGTTTGAAATGTGAATTTATTGATTGAATTTGGACTTTAAAAGTGTCATCGAATTGAAAAGTTGTTTGTTGATTTAGAATGCAAAGCTTGGAAATTTGTTGTCTTGAAAAATTCTTGATATTTTGAACTTGAAATGGCATTGCAAATTTGAATTGTTGTGATAAAGATCCCGACTTGTTTCATTTGTTGCTTATGAAATGCATGGATGTGTTTGATCTTAAATTGCCTTGAATGCTTGCAAGTATGACTAGACTTAGAATCTTGTGCTTTTGAACTTGAAAATGAAAAGTCTTGTTTAAATTGCATAAATGTGTTTCAAATGGACCTCTTTGAAAAGTTTTGATCTCCAATTGACTTTAGCTCACGGTTAAAGTGCTTTGTTTTGGAAAAATGTTCCTTAAATGCTTAAAATGATTTGTGATCACACTTATTGGTTTCAAAATGTTAAAAAAGAAAATTTTTGAACTTGTTTTGAAATGAGAAGTTGAGTTACTTAATTCCTTCTTTTGTTATTCATTTATTGCATGATTCTTGTTATGAAGCTTTTATACAATGTATTTGAATGTTTGGACTCTAAAATTTTCAAAAATTTCAATTTGGCCCTAAAAGTGTTGAAAAAGTCCAAAGTTGACCAAAATGCCCTTGTTTGAGTTGAAACTTGTTCCATTTGATTCATTCTCATCCAATTGCATGTGCTAAGTGCCTTTGAACTTATTTGTGCTAAATTATTAATTCTTATCATGTTAGGGCACACGTTTAATGTCTTTTGACCTTTCTTATCATGATTTTGAACTTATCTTGAAAAATGAGTTGAATTGCCATTTCAACCCAACTTTTTTAGAGTCAAATGATTCCATTGTTACTTTATGACCTTGAAACTTGTCAAATGTGTTCCTATTTGAATAATTGTGTGCATTTTGGAATAATTGCAACTTATTGCTTGTATATACACCATTTCACACACACTTATGTCACATTGATGGTTTTGAGAATTTATGTGCATCTTTTGAATATATCTTCTTGGAATTGATTTTGAACAAGTTTGGGGGTGGGAAATGGATGTTTGGAGTTCAAAAAGCATGATTCGGATGTAATTACTATTCTTTGGCCTTAGTATCACTTTTTGAGCTTAACTTGAAATTTAAAATGCAATTTGAGATAAGCCCAAAAATATGTTTGCTTTGTCTTGAAAATTGTCTGTTTAAATGCCATTTGCTTGATATCATACACTTGTGATCTATTTCTGAAAGCCAAGTAATGGCTTGAGACCGAGGTTCTTTCCAGTCCTAATTTTGATTCCAAAATGGTAAGCTTCTTGTATTCTCAGTTTTTGACCATTCTTTGTTCATTTAAGCTTTAAAGGGGGTCGCGAGCCATAAACGATCATTTTTCTGCTTATCTATTGGTTAGAGGGGGTCACGAGCCATGAGTGATCGTAGGATGCTGATTTTGTTGAAATGGAGTAAGGGATATTTCTTTATCTTGTGTGTCATAACATGCCTTGGATTGAAGTATTATGCAATCGTGCATTCCACTTAGTCTTTATTACATGATATGCATGCTTTTTGAGTTCTAGGTTGACATTTTCCATGATTATATGCTCCATGTTATCCTGCTTACTCCATTTGCTCTTAAATACTGAATTTGTAGACATTCTTGCTTAGGAATTGATACAATGTCATCCTAGGGTCTACAGGCCATGAATTTGCAGAATCTTCTTGAGTTTTAGGTTTGTGAATACACGTTGCATCATTTATGCACATCATAGCCTATGCATGTCCTTTTGATCCTATTTCTGCTCAAAATGTTCCAAAAGTGATTTTTCTGCCCTCTATGCCATCATTGCATTGTCTTGCATCCCTGAGATTGCTATTGTGCTTCGATCTATTCTGTCTAGCTGAGGCATGTTGAATGTTAATTTTGAAGCTATCTTGATCATTTCTAGCACATGCATGATCCTAGTTGTCTACTCTCTATTTCTACTTGCTTCAGGCATGCTTTGTGTTTTCTTATCAGTTACTTACCTTATTCTATACATATGCACTAATTTATTCTTGTTGCTCTTCTAGATACAGCGCAGAGAGAAGACTCTTGTTAGAAAAAGAGTACGCAGAGCTCCACAGCCTCCTCCTTCTCCAAAGGTAGAGTCTTCTTCGTCTTCATCTTCTACTGCTACAACATTTGCAACAATCCATACAGAGCCATCACTTATGGAAGCTCAAGGTTCTATTATCCAAGAAGTACCTTCTATCTCTTACTCTCGCAAGAAACTGAAGCCTGAGTACAGATTTAACCGCAATCTATTTTTCGAGTTGGAGTAGACCAAATGGTCTTATAATGAGCTCACTCATAGGGGCATTAATGCCATCATGACACTGGCAGACACTGTAGTTTATCCCTGGGTGGTTGCATTGTTCTTCCAGCACCTTTGGTTGGATGAGGATGACAGACTCTTGATGCATATGACTATAGAAAGCCAAGAGATCGACATCTCTATCCCGACCATAGTTGTTGCATACCGATGCCCCCATCTCTCTTCACTAATTGTTGACTCTGAGGATCCATTATATCCCAACGCTCCACCTTTTCCCTCCGAGCTGACCACGGTAGTGACTTTATCTCCATATGCTGCCTTTGAGGGCAACACATTTTGCAGACCAGGTTAACATTGATCCCCGATACTGGTTTATCGATTATGTGCTACACCTCAATGCCTTCCATCAGGCCATAGCACAGCGGAGAGAGGGGATTTTTCAGGCTCTATACTGTTTGAGCCAGGGTTATTAGATTTTTGTTCCTGCGCTCATCTGGGAGCTCATTCACAAGTTCTAGAAGAATCTGATATGTACATATAATTCTAGAGCTGAGGCTTGGCCTTCACCATATGGCCACCTGATTACTCAGCTGCTGATTGACCAAGGCTATCATTTTGACCCAGATGAGATTCCAGAGACTGATGTACAGAGAGCTAGGAGGGCATCTGACTAGGCCAAGTGGACAAAGACCTATAATTCTTGCCTCAAGAACAGAAAGAACAGAGATAGGAAAAGGAAACGAGATCAAGAGAGGGCAGAGGATGATGCAGCTACAGAGGAGGCAGCCGATAGATCACCTCTCAGACAGAGGCATCGCATTACTACTTCCGCTTCTACCTCACAGCCAGATGTACCTATTATATCGGAGCAAGCCGGCCCCTCTCATGTCCTTCCTACAGATCCAATGCCACAGGCCGACACTCGATCCGACATGGTAGTACAGATTCTAGCTACAAATATGATATCACTCAGCTGCACACAGACTTCATTTCCTTCAGAGCTGATATGATCCGGCGGCACGAGGATATCATGAGGCGGTATAATGATCTGGTAAAGAGACATGATGACTTAGTAGAGAGGCACGATGATCTAGTTTGGCGGTCTAATAATTTGAGGACAGATATTGCCGAGGTGAAGCGAGAGCTTAGGGCATTGGGGATTGACCTTACGATATCCCTCACTCGCCACAGCCGAGATATGTTTGACATACTGCAGCACATTGCTGACATGATGACTATGGGTCCTACTCCCTAATTCCACCATTTTCTCTCTCTATTACTCATTATCTGCTTTGATACACTATCATTTCGATACACTGCTATTATTGGGATATTTTTTACTGTCTTGATATTTGCGCTGGTTTTGGATACTTTGGATATTATTTTTACACTACACTTGCTATACATTGATTTTTGGATATATGGTTTTGGATTTACTTGATATATATGGATTTTTGGATTTTGATATCGGTTTTGGATATTCTGAGCTTTATATTGCTAGATGCCATGATTTTTGCAGTTTCATCTCTCATTTATATCATTGATGCATATGCTTTGACAGTTGCTAGTGTGACCATTTTTAGACACGTTTTTAGAATCTAAGTTTGGGGGTGCGCCTTCCAAAGCTAAGCTTCCGTTGTCGGGTCTCATTTTGCTACGCCCATTTGGTATACTCTTTTCATTATCTGTTACTTCTTTGCACATTGACAATAATGCACAGATTAAGTTTTGGGGTATCTTAGCATATTTTACATGCCGCACTTAGTTTCTATGCATGTGGTATGATTTGAAAGTCTTGAGCCATGATTTTTATCTTTTGAGAACCATGATACTTAGAATTTAAAAATCGCTTGACTTGAGAGTCCAATACTCCTTGTATGTTTTGTGAATGCCATTTAGGAGTAAATTTTTCAAAAGATTAATATCTTGTTTGCATTTGTGGTCCACATCATATTGATTTTGTAATTGTTTTGAGATTCACTCTAAGATTCTACACTAGCACAAGTGCACACTAGCATTCATTTGTAGGGTACATGCTTTGTTGACTATTGATTTGGTTATATCCCAATTGAGCTAGTAGTGCATTGAAAGCTTTCATTCTTGACAACGGTAGATAACGAACCCTTTTCACTAAGTAGCCGGGATTTTAGCCTCACCAAGCACTGAATTTCTCGTGCCGAAAGGTAGAGGGCCCAAACTCTAGGTTAAAAAAAAAAAAAAAGGTTTTAAAAAAATAAATAAAAAAGTGAGGACTTCTCCCAAAAAGGTGAGAAGTGAGAAATGATTAAATGGAGATTGTTTTGATTTGTAACCTAGTTGATTTGAGCTTATAAGTCTTTAGGGGTGTTTAAACACCTGGTGCCGTAAAGCAGTTCGGATTGGGAGTCATTGACCTAACGCTCGACCTCATGAATTGCTAGAGAGTTTAATAAATCAATACATTGCACCATGCTTCCATCTTTGATCCTAAAAAAAAAAAAAAAAAAAAACATAGAGTGAAAAGAATAAGTGCACTTAGTTGAATAAAGCTTTAATAAAAGGTTCATTCTTTGTCTTGATGATCGATACTAGATTTGTGTGCTAGTTTAAGGCCGAATGTGGTCATTTCTTTGGTTGGCTTAGATAGCAACATATTTGATGCCAGTTCACTTAAAAAGGATTCTAAAGTTGTTTTGATTTACATGAACATTGTCTTGATGTGTGAAGGACCATACTTGCTTACTTGATGTTGAGATTTTGGACGATTGCTTGGAAATGGTTGAAAAATTGCATACTTGAGATAATTTTCTCCCAATGCTTGTTTTATATGTTGGTGCCTCTTTAGTGAGAAAGAGCTCAATGTTTGTGGGTATCATTTATGCAAACCCTTACGAGATTTCACTCGTTCACTAAGGGTAACCTAGGGGTTTAAAAGGCTTGTTGCATACGCTAAATGCAATCGTGTTCCTACAAAAGTGCCGTTATCATTTCATTGCTTTCTAGTTCATAGTTACTTAAATGTTTATTTCTTTCTTTTCTTTGTAGTTCATCGCTAGGGACTAGCAATATCTAAGTTTGGGGGTGTGATAAGTGCTCAAATGTGATGCACTTTAACACCTAAGTTAGAGTATTTTAATCCAATCATCTATCTTACTTTCATGTTTTAGTACTTATTTGTGTTTTTATCTATTTCAAGTCAATAAGGTTTAAACAGGATAAAAAGAGCCTTTTAACTCAACTTTGGAGCTAAGGAGAAGATCCGGAAGAAATCAGAAAAAATTGCACTTGAAGGGACTTAGATCAATCGAAGGAAGTCTCGATCGATCAAAGATTTCTACAATCGATCAAGATTAAAGTGGTGCCAGCTCAATGGATAAGGTTGCTAGGTGTCAAAATATCTTTTCCACGTCAGCTTCAATCGATCGAAGCAAGTGTTGGATCAATCAAATTCCTATTCGATCGATCGAAGTGACTGTTGATAGTGTGCTGTCTAATTCCCGAGCGCGCCCGGACTATACCAACTTTTGTAGATGCGAATTTCCACCAATCAAATGCAGTATTTCTGATTTGTTGCCTACTCAAAGAGGCTTGTATATAGATTAAATGAACCAATTTGTAAAAGGTTCCTCTAGTTGATATTTTACCAATTATAGAAATATTTTCTTTTTAGAACTAGGGTTTTATGAAGAAAGCAAGGAGGAATAAGATGATGCCAACCTTTAAGCTAACCCTTGAGAGTTCCATGGCCACTACAATAAGTGGCTAAATCTTTCTCTTGGGGCTAGAAATAGCCCCTAGGCTTGCTTCCTAAACCTAGTCTTTTGTAGATTTTTGGGGATTTTAGTTGTAATTGATGTTTTAACCATGAATTAATATAAATCTTGTGATTTTTACATGATTTGTATGGATTAATGCTTTCAATTGATCATTTAATACTATCCATTTGTTTATGTATACTACAATGAATGTTCATGTGTTTTTTCTCTAGATTTTATGAAATTGATGCATGTCTATGTGTGTTGAAATTATGAATCTAGTGATGGTCAAGGCATGATGCTTAATTGATTACTCTTGTGATTTATTTGATGGTTTATGCTTATTTCTTGATGGATTGTGCCACCTTCTTAGCTTAATTAGTTTAATTTTCATGTCATTAGCATAGTTGTAGTGTAATTGTTTTAATTTCCTAGATAGGTGGACAATCCATTCTTGTTGTTTGATGATCCATGCTTATGAGTGCAAGTAGTACATTTCTCTATATTTTTGTATGTGCATTAATTGTGGTTTAATTGAATAGTTAATAGTCTCATTTGATAGGTTGTGGTACTCACTTGATTGATTAGACAATCTTTGCTTATTTGCCATGTGACAGCCTAAGTTTTATAAACCCGGTGCGTCAGTGATGACCAAAAGATAACCCGATAACGGATCCGAAATGCAGAAGCGAAAGATGATCAAAGCAAAAGAAAAGAAATATTCTGAGGCATGGACGAGCGCTTGTCCAAAGCCAAAGCACCGAGCACTGGTTCGGCATCCATCGATATTAAGCACCCATTCGGCACTCATCAACACTGAGCACCCATTCGGCACTCATCAACACTGAGCACCCATTCGGCACTCATACAAGGTCGGTCGTTCTGACCTACATGGTCAGGCGTTCGGACTTACATAATCAGGTGTTCTGACCTACATGGTCAAGCGTTCGAACTTACATGGTCAGATGTTCTGACCTACATGGCCAGGCATTCAGACCTACATAGTCAAGCGTTCGAACTCACATGGTCAGGCGTTGGACTTATATGGTCAGGCGTTCGGACTTACATGGTCAGGCATTCTGACCTTCATGATCAGGCGTTCTGACTACCGAATGACGAAACAGAAAGCAACAATCAGCCGAACGACGAAACAGAAAGCAGCAAAAATTGCTGCCACAATGCATGGTGAAGTGTTAGGTCCAAACTAAGGCTATACATGCATTCCAAATGATCCGAAACAAGTTTTAAAAAAAAAACATTCTTATGAACTTTAAAATTAATGGCCCTTGGCCTCATGTTATACATACAAAATGAATGTCAAGAGGTGTGCTTAGGCATACATCACATATCTGAAATTGAAAATGACATGTTAAACCAAACATTACATAACAACTTCAAAGAGAAGATAAACATGCTAACACCTGCATGTGAACAAGAGTACAGTTAAAAGAACTTCAATTCTATATATCACATAAGGCAATTGCAAATCCCCAAATCTTGAATCATGTACCTGAACAATGACCCCTATAACTTTGGGGTGAGTAACATAAAGCTACTCGTAGGGAATGAGCATGCATAGACCTAATTTTTACAAGGTTATTGCATTTATATGAAGTAATTCAAAAAGATCATGCCACCTAATGTCTATGTCATAAGTAAGACTCAGGGATCATCCTAAGCTACTCATGGAATTGAAATGAACTACGGCATACAAGTATACATGCTCAAGTACACTAAACCGTATTAAAACATGATAGACGACATACAAGCATCGTTTTCAAGTACTCTAAATCATGTTAAACAAAATAAGCAATATCTACTATACCTACACAAGTATTCGATATATGTAGAGTACTCATAAATCAAGTATACAAGCACAAGTATACCAAGCTAAACAAAATACACATAAGACAAGTATACACGGCTTAAGCATACTAAATGAAATTTAAACTCACGGAGCAAATATACAAGTTCAAGTATACTAAATAGGATTCAAATACCCAAAGTAAGCATCAATTCTCAAGTTATAAGTAATCCATGATTTGAAATTAAATATGAAATCAAATAATGGAAAGACTAGGATATGTGGCCACGAGACCATACAAGTTATTTCGGGTAATTATGACCCATAAGGTACTACTTATTGCGCATTTATGACTTAGAAGACTCTTATCTCCGTACTAGAGCCAAACCCTAGCCATCATCTTTTCATATCTTTACAAACTTCCAAAAATCAATAAGTTTAAAACTTATGTAAAATCAATAAGTTAAACCAAGCTCATACAAAATCATATAATGCATAAAAATCATCTTTCATACACAAGTAAGGTTGAATCCACACAAACCATGTCCTAGAATTCAAGTCTAAGTGGCATATGTTATGTCAAGTTTTCAATATGCAATTTATACACAAAACAAGAATATCTTACGACAATTGAACCAAATTACCATCCTAAGCCACAAGTATTAAATAAGCTACAATTTAATAACAAGCTTTCAAGATAAACAATTGTAATATTCTAAACAAGCTATATACCTACACAACATATATTTAAACAAGCTTTGCAAGACAATGATATCCTATATCATGCTAAGTTCGATTACCATTTTAAGATGCTACAAGTACTAATTTTACATCTAATTAGTAATATGCTTACAAGGTAATTTATTGTACTACACTTCATGAGATTATCACCTTAACATGAAAAGTCTCTAGATTTCAAATCAATTCCA